ATTTGGCACTCCAGAAGACTCGATTTCTTGCTGAATTAGGGTCAAGGTTGTGTGCGCTTCCTGTGCTTCGTTCAACACTTTGCGCGCTTCCTCTGCAACTTTTCGGCCCTCTGTATGAATTCCGACCGCGCTGAATTTTCTGTTTCCAGGCTGTCGGCCGCAGTGGTGTATCTCTCCAATGCGTCTCTACCATGCCCGATTCCAGTTCGATTGCTGTTCTGGCTTTGCTGATCCTCTGTCTGAGCACGTGGCGATCTTCTGGTCCTACTCCTTTGTCCCATGAAGGCAGAGGATCTGTTCCACCCCGTAGAAGAGAGGCCAGTCTATTCGTTGCCCACCGAAGAATTCCTTGGTGCTCTGCTAAAGACAATGATATTTTCAAGAGACTAACGGAGCTGTGCCTGTGTCACGGTTGACTCTATTTGAGATCCTCTTGACTTCTTTCTTCTTCGGCTTCCTGGGCTCCTTGAAGGCCAATGCACCAGATGTGGCGGTTTGTCGGGAGTGGATTGCCGGTAGGAGACGAAGATGATGAGAAAGAGTTTATTTTATAGCAACCGAGCCATTTGTAGGTGTATCACAATACTCAGTATCACTCTATTTGTTGTTGATCGTGCTCTTCTTCTAATAACACTGTTCGGTTCGGTACGGTTCATAGAGGAATTTCTATAAGGAGAGTACGATTGGTCAAAGTGGCCTATTTGAATAAGATGTGTACCGACCGACGCGTCTTGGACGCTGATTTCAGATCTGCTTGCCAAATTTTCCAAATGATACTCTGAACAAAGACATGAAGTAGTAAAATGGTACTATCTCTGAGCTTCATCGATAATTATTAGATAGATGCATTCAGAACTTTTGCATCAAATCTTTTTAGTGAGCTTTGAGTTGAGAAATGTGGGTCACGCATGTTAAGGGAGGGGCCTGCTCCGATGTAGGCGGAGCCAGACAAGTCTGTAAAACGGTTCCAGAGCAGTGCAGAGACCGTAGAAAAAGTGTATTAGTCAGCGAAGGGTACCCCGTTGAGAAAAGTGGAGCATACATGTTGTGTGTGGGCTGCTCTGATAAGGATGGAGCCAGACAAAAAAGTCTGTAAAACGGTTCCAGAGATGCCGCTACTGTTCTACACCCTTCATCTGGATAGCTATTAGCAGCTGTCATGGGGTCCTAAGCGTATGTGACGTGAATCTGAGTCTCACTGCATCGGTAGCCATACTCTTGATCATCGGTCGCTGCAGATACAGTTGGTACAAGTCGGCCTGCCGCCTGACGACGGCGCATCTCTTTGTATAATATGGGCGACATGGTCAAGCGAGCGCAGCTTCGACGCGCAATCCTTCTTTTGTTTTGTCAGAGTAATTGAATGATGCCCGACATTCCTCTCAACTGTGCTCCTGCTCGCCGCTCCTTACCACTATGACAAATTTACTCAGAGACCATGCGTACAGATGAGAGAGGAACCAAACTTTGGTTTAGCATTGCAGCATCACGAAAAAAGGGCGCGAAACCACGCAAAATAAGGTCAAAATTGATATACTATATTTGGCATGTGGTGAGCTCTATGAAGTTTCGTCAGTGATCCCGCAGCTTCCCTTCCCGCACGCGTGGCTGTTTAGCGCCATGCTGGCCCCAAGTGACCTCGGCCCAAAAATAAGTGTCAGAATCGTGATAGGGGTTGTCAACTACCCCAGTATACGAACTTTCAGCAAAACAAATTTCGAGCTCTTCTATTGTAAATGAATCGACCATTTGGATGCCAGCGACACCCCAACTCTCACATCTCCGTAGCCATGTAGGCCAGGACAAACCGTCATAAATTTCCATCCAAAATTCAGTACCTTTTTAGAAAATGCCATGTTAGCTCCAGAGCACCTAAACGAGCATCCAGAATCTTTTTCAACTTTTACCGCCTAGGCTTTTTATCGAACAGCCCGTTACTCCTGCCGGGAGAAAATGAACTTGTTTCTCTTTGACTTTTTAAGAGTAAATTCTGTGCATTGTATATGTGCCCTTCCTTTCTTGAATTTCGTAGTTGTTCATCATGAGTTTGTGTAATAGTTAAGGGAAAGTTCCTGATAGCGAGGATAATTAACGACTTCTAGAGGAGAACGATGGCCACTGGTGGACATGGCTTGTCATCATAGCTCAAAAAGCTCAGAAAAAATTGCTGAAACTTCGCATGTAGGAATAAATGGTGACCTCGATCACGATTCTGACACTTATTTTTGGAGCCGAAGCCATTTGCGGTCAGCTCAGCATGACGCCAAATAGCCCTTACGCGCAGGTTCACAATGATTTTGCCTCTTCGCGAGCCATCAGTGTGTAGAATGAGCCCCCTTGAAGGGCTTGAAGGGCATATATGTGGATTATATACAGGGGAGGGGGCAGAAAAGCCACTTTTCTTCCTTGACCTTCGAGGCGTTATAAGTTACACTTTATTAAATTCATCGCACAGTTCTGGCACCATAATCAACAGCATATTAAATACTATCACGATACTCCGCCACAGCCTCCTGGAGGAGCGCCATCGAGAGATTCTGCCACGCGATCGTGAGTGGGTGCCTGAGTTCAGCGAGATCGTTGATTTCTCCGTCACTGCAGACCACCTTTTTGAGCTCCGTCCGAACTCGGTAATTGAGAGTTTAGGTCAGGGGACATACTTGAATATTTCATCTTCTTCAGGTACTCAACCCCTTCCATTCCAAGTAGGCGAGAGTTTTTCCAACGCTCTTTGATTCCATGCGGTGGCACACAAACCTGTAGCAGTACAAAGTTTCCAAGAAGGTACGGGCGAAGACATGTGGGGAGGAAATTCTTCTCGAGTTACTCGATGTAAGCGCCAGTGCTCACCTGCAGTCCGGGTCCACGAAGAAAATATCGGTCTTCCCATTCCAGGAACTTCCGGCCCATACCGTCAACCAGCGCCTTGGCCACTGCTGTGAATATGACGTGTTAGACCTAGAGACGTTGTCGGAGCTGCTCGATGTTGGAAGTCTTCCAGATCGAGAGTGCTGGTTTCCAGGTAGCTATCCATGGGTGACTCCATACTAGAAGTTTCGCAGGCTTGAAGGTGACAATTCCGAAGGTCTTCTGCAGTGAAGTTGCGACTGGAGATGACTTCATATTCTGGTGTACATGAAGGTGATGAGCAAGATCCAGCCCCTGCTTATCGATGAACATCTTGGGCATCTTTCGCCCTGGTACTCGTATCCACATCCTCTGTATGGGCTGCGAAAAGTTTGCTGATAGTGACTTGGTCGAAGTGACTTTTTTTTGGCCTCCGCCCCTGTACATTGCCAGGCAATCCGGAACACAGGAATGTGAGAATTTGAAAAATGCAAAAAGATGTCCTCGAGTAGATCCGATCCACAAAGTACCTTGGACTGAGAGCCGGTCGCGGTATCCACCACACCATAAGTCCATTGCAAACGGTGAGATGCAGGAGCCATTGAAGAAGCATACGGGGATGGCGAAAAAAAGTTCAATGTAGCTCACCACAAGTACTTGTATTTCGACCTTACTTGCCTTGTCTTTCATGCCTACACGAAGAACACCTCATAAGCTATATATTCTCAACGTTACAGCTAGAACGTGCTGAATAGGGTGGTTTAAATCGTCCTTGTCAGATTTTTTCACTCCTTTTCTTGAAATTCCCAATAGCGTTAAGCAAAAATAAACCCCATCTATACGGTCCATGCATGGACCCCTACATCATGCAACAAATCGTTTCCAAAAAGCTCACCATAACCTGAACCACCTCCCCTGTCAGATGGCAAAAAACTTGCACCAACAGCTAATCTGACCCCCTTCCGGAACACGAATTACACTCCTGTCGTGCGCTACAGGCTTCTGCACACCCTCGCTCACGTTTAGTTTCAGATCTTAGCGGAATGACGCTTTCTTGTGCCTCATATACATGTTGAGCATGGCTCTGACCAGGTCAAAAATTGTGCACAACTCTGCTTCGGGAATCATTTAGAAGGTATGAGAGGCAAATTTGTATCAGCATCTAAAGATGCGTCAGATGGTATACAGGGGGGGGGGGCAAAAGTCATTCCGGCCGACTCACATATGAGCGAAGTTTTCGCAGCCCAGACAGAGGAAGTGGATATGAGTACCAGGGCGGAAGATACCCAAGGTCTTCCTCTATAAGCAGGAGCCGGCTGTCGCCATTCACCTTCATGTACACCAAAATATGAAGTCATCTCCAGTCGCGACCTTAAGTGGAGAACGCCTTTGGAATTCACGTGGCATCCAAACAACTGCGAAACTTCTAGTATGGAGTCACCCATGGATATACCTGGAGACCAGTACTCTTGATCTGCAAGACCTCAAACATCGAGCAGCTCCGGCAACGTCGCTACGGTCCAGGATATCATCTTCACTGCATTCACCAAGGCGTGAGTTGATGGTGTGGACCGGTCGTACCTGGAATGGATTAACCGATCTTTTCTTCGTCGGCCCCAGACTGAGGGTGTGCGCTGGTGGCTACAACTCGAGGAGAATATCCCATCTTCATGTCGTCGCCCGTACCTTCTTGGGAACTTTGTACTGCTACAGGATTGGGTGATAACACATTTAATCGAAGGGCGTTGGAAAAACTTTTGCCTACTTGGAATGGAAGAACGTTGAGTACCTGGAAAAGATATAGTATTTGAGCGGGGGTCCTAACTAGATACCCCTTAATAACTCGGTTCGGGCGGAGCTCAACAGGGTGGTCTACAGTGGCGGAGAAATCAACGATCTCGCTCAACTCCGGTACCCACTCACTTTCGCGCGGCCGAATCTCTCGATGGCGCTCCTCCGGGAAGCTGTGGCGGAGTATCATTACAGTATTTAATGTGCTCTTTAATATGGTAGTAAAAATGTCCGATTAAAACTTAATAAAGTGTAATTTATAGCGCCTTGAAAGTCATGGAGGCAGAATGACGTTTTTTGGCCCCCCAGTATGTCTCGATTTGGCTGTTTAGCTGCGTTTGAATGGCAACGCCGAAATACCATCCTTTCTCCTGGTGAGGAAAATAAGGTCCTACACTTATATTAGAGCCATATTCATGACAGTAAATATCACCTCTTTTCGTTTCCGTTCTGCTTTCGTAGTAGACAGCAACATCGACTCTTCTCTGTTTGTAAACTGGAATCTTGTTGCACTTTTGCACAGGGAGCGTTACAAGAGGTTCCTTCTTGAAAGAAGATGGCGAAGGAGCCGCTACAGGTTTAGAGAGGCCTAAAATCAAATCCTATGGATAAAGTTTTTTCTCAAAGTTTATTTCACAAGCTGACCATTCCTCCTCTTGCAATTTCCAAATGACTGAGTAGATCCTTTCAAGGGAAAGGTGTGTGATGGTCCATGATGAATGGAAGAGGTAGAGGCTGCGAAGAGCCCAGTCACAGATGGTTCAGATGAACAAGCAGGTGAATCGGGTGGTGTGAACTGGAAAGAGCATCATACTGAATCTCGTCAACGTGCCACCAATATTACCAAAAAAACTGTACCTGAACAGGACTAAGGTTCGCATTATTTTCACCACCGTGAAAGTCGAAAGGAAAAGCATTAGACGAATTAGTGTTGTTCTCCAAACTGCTGAATATCTGATCAAACTCTTGATCAGCAGACGTGATTTCGGATTGTGCACCAACAGTTTGACAGATAGACGAGGCGGTGCTGCAATCAGGCCAACAATTCAACAGACACACTTTTACAGGAGATAACAGACGTACAAAGAGATAGACTTCTGAGGCGATTCAAGTGCAGAATGGGAAGAGAGATTCCCTCCCATTTCGAAGACACTTTGGATTGCTGCATGATTCTCTTTGGGAGGAGCTCCCGTAAAGAGGTCCAAATCCCCCAAATCAATAATGCTTGTCCAGCTGTCCTCAACTATAGGATGGCCGCTGCGCTGTGATATGGACGACTGTGACATCTGAAAGTGTTCCACTATAGAAAAGAGACTTACATAATGATAGGAATATACTACAGCTTTCACAGCACATGATTTTCAGAGCTTTATCGCTTCGGTAGAGACAACGAAAATCCGCTGTCTGTATTTCAGTTATAAGCTCTTCTTCAGGTCAACTGCATCTTGAACAAATAAACGGTCGAGCAACAATGAGCAATAATTGTAGTATAGCAGCTCGCGACAACAATCGGTCTTCAGTAAAGAGACCTGTTTAAAAAAACCCCCGCGCTCAAGGTGCGGAAACTCGTCCAAATCCCAGACCCCTGCTTATAGTGCTTTTTGTTCCCTGAAAAGTCATTCAGCGCCTGTAGGTTTGTAACTAACTGAACGCCACATCCACAATATGCAATCGCGCGTTTGTTTTTAAAGACAGCCCTCGCACTCAAGTAGTTCATGGCCGTCCTTCCTTGTGCTAATAGTCCAGCCCCCAGCTAGGAGAATGTCCCACTCCCGCGACTCCATAGCGAGCGAGGAGCGAGCTACAGCCGCTGAAAGTTCTAGTTCTGACGCCCGCTCAGTCGGACCGCCCACCTGCTAGATGCCTTCTCACAGAGGGCCGCTCAATTGTTCTCTGTTGGGGCGGCGGGCATTAAACGGAATTGCGTGTCCTTTTTGCTGACCGCGCTCGTCCCCATACATATAATAAATCTGCTCTCCTTTATCACATTTTATTCATTAGGAGCACACACAGTCAACTGCAACCTATCTTGCAAGGTAAGACGCGTAGAAATCACGAGTGATGCGAATTTCGTGGGCAAAGACTTGAAATGCACTAAAAAATGCACGCTTCTGTAACACCAAACTCGGATTCGGAAGAAGTTTGGAAGTTTCTTTTTTTCAAGTGTTTTTCGTCCGTGTTTTTGTTGTTTTCCTTATTCTCTTCTTTGCTTGGATGATATCCACTACTCGGAGATGCGATAAAGCGATTTGTGAGCCAGGGGTTGCACAGAGACCCCAGGGCGGTGTGACTGTAAGGGAGCGATTTTGTTATGGTGTCCTTGGAGACCCTCCTTGCTTTTTTTTCATAACTGAACGGCAACTATGTATGGCACTTTTATCGCGGGAGCTGTCTTTAACGAGAGATGGAGCAACAAAATGTAGAGTTGTGATTACGGACAGGAATATAAACATACGCCAACGATCCGAATTATTGGCTTGCCAGAAAGCTTGTCATGATTTTTGCGAACATTTTAAATTCCCTCAATCCTCAATCTTGAAGTTGCGACTGATGACCAGTCAAGATTTCCCTCTTAAATGTACTCAATCAACCTATGAAGGCAGACAGTACACTTACCTTCGAGGACTGCCTTTTCCATGTGAATGGATCTAAAGCTGTAGTAGCGTACCGCTTTTTCCGTTCAAATGTGCACAGCAAAGTAACTGAACAGTAGCGATACTACAGCGATAGCGCGGGTGGAGTAGTCAGTCCCTTTCATATTTAACACAGTCATAGAGTCACACAGTCAGAGGTATAGAATAATCAGACGTACGAGGGCGGACAAAAAAACGTACAGAGGTATAGAATAATCAGGCGTACAAAAAAGTAACAACGCTTTTTGCCGGCTTTACAAGCACAAACAACAACGGATACGTTATGCGCTTGCCACGCTCATAACGAAGAAATGGACCTTCTGCACGTCCGCTCTCATAAAACGGGGGACTTTGTAAGTCTGCCCTCAAAATACAAATGGGAGACTTTTGTACGTCTGCCCTCACACATTGAGACTTTGCAAGTCTGCCCTCATAAATTGGAGAGTTGCAAGTCTGCCCTCATAAACTGGAGACTCTGCACGTCCGCCCTCATAAAACGGGGACTTTGTAAGTCTGCCTCATATACAAGTGGAGACCCTGCACTCTGCCCTCATAAAACGGAGACTTGCAAGTTTGCCCTCATAATATTGGATCCACGACCAAATATACATGATAGGTACACAACACACTACACAATACACTACATGACACCCTACACGACACGCAACTTCACTTCACAAATTTCAACAGAGAAAATTTCTTGTGGTCTTCCTCCTCACTTTATGCAGAGCTGCCATTAGTGCTCTCAAATGCTAGTATACACCTCTGTATTATTAGCATATAAGCTCTAGACTCCATGAGTAACATGAAAACTCCTCAACCAATGCGTGCAAAGCACTTCTAATGTCCTCGAGGACAATACACATGGTAGTAATCTACCCTCTTAAGAAAAGATCTATTGAGCGATTACACCAAGAATACTGAGAGGATTTCCAACTACGATACACCCATGTGGTTGGCACACTACACATTACTGTTTACCATGTGCAAATCCGTGCTGTAGTAATACACTTGACCTCTTCAAAAACTCTGTATTGACATCGACGCGGCGCACTCCAAACCATCAGCTATGTCGCAGCTGTCTCCCCGCGTCACCCGATAAACAATGCGACAACTTCGCTGCCAAAGGACTCTGCGCTGGTCAGCCAGCTCCATGCTGACTATCGATGACTCATACGTAGCCATCGTCCCAACGAGTAAGACTCACGGAATGCATTGCAGTATGGTGTAACACGCCTCTTGTGAAATGAACTCTCGATTGCAAATATACCCTCGCACTATGTAAAACTAATGGCTACAAGACCATAATGAGACTAATGATACTAAACAAAAGGCCGTACAACAATAAAGCAGTTATCGATCCTCAGGACACTTTGATCAGAGAACATTTACACAATACGTACATATAATACACAATCGCTATTTGTCCTATATAGACCATGCAACTCAAGACACATCTTCTAAGCTATAATTAATGAGCATCAGCGACCCATCTTCTAATCGTCCGTTCCATCCCCTTTACAATACGTGTAAACGGTGGAACGGTGAACCCTATTTTTATCCAACATCCCCCCCTACCCACAGCACGCACTCAACCTACACGACCTTTCTCCACATTGGTGTTCGCAGGCCCATTCGTAACTACTGATGCAGACAAGAACAACTACAAGCGTTGGGTGTTTCTCTCTACGTGCATGACCACCCGTGCAGTACACTTGGAAACTGTCATTGATCTGAGTGCTTTGCAACTACTTCATGTCATAAGAGGATTCATCTCACGTCGAGGAAAACCGCAACTCATCATATCCGACAACGCATGAAACTTTACACTCTGTGACGAGCTCTTATCCGCCATCGACAGTGACACTGGTACACACCATTCTTCGCTTTGAGCATTCCTAGCAAACGAAAGGTACAATGGAAATTTATAACGCCCCTTTCGCAATGGAAATGAGTTCTCTATGAACGCCTGATCAGTGCAATGAAAACAACCTTCAAACGAATAGTAGCGAGAAAATCACTCGATGACGCTGCTTTTACAACTATAGTAACTGAATGCGAAGCCATGATAAATTCCAGGCCACTAGCGTACGCTGGCAGTACGGTCGACTACTAATCATAGGTCCTATAGACTTCCTCATACCTCAGGCGGATGTCACTCCCTTCACTACAGTTTCCATAGACAATGACAGCAGTGATGTAGACTATCTACCACGAATCTCCACAAGGGAACAAGCAAGGGAATACTTTCATCAACAAGTACGTCATCTTCAATATTTATGGAACATTTGGACAATAAGTTACCTACTCGAACTACGTAACATTTATCAACGACACACCAACACAATGCACACCGTTCTGACTTATCAACAAACCCTGAAAACAACACAACGCGAACGAGGCAGATACTACCCCGTAAGGCAAAAACCAACAAGACTTCCAGCTATACAACTAACATGAACACCAACGACACTGCATCAGTTCGTTACGTTGCCCACTAACAAACAATCATTATGGAGACAATGGCTCACAATATCTTTATCATTGGCCCTATTCCAACGGGCTCATCCTCAGCCCATCCAGAAGATAAACTTATATCACAGGAGGAGTATACGACCCAGGCTTTTTAAAGACACATGGTACGCTCAAACACATTGAGGGTGTATGAGACTACCAGCCCCCCACCTGTCGATGTGTCGTGGTCTCCCCGCCCTAAACTGCACGGGGTCAGAGCAGGGGCCGTGGGAAAGTCGTAATTCCTTGCTACACCGCCCTCACGTTTATGCTAACACCATCTCGCGCGGCGGGTCTGCGTGCAGCTCTTCTTTTTGCCAAGATCTGTAATATGCCGCTTTGGGTAATCATAGTAAAACGCAATTCCTTTATGCGGATAACATTTTAGGTGCTGCAAAATAAGAACCGAAGATCATGACAAGGGCAAGAACTAAGAGCAACTGTGCTGCTTCTGCAATATCCCTCAGAGGCCGCGCATCTTCACAGTACATCACAATAAAAACGGACAACATGACAATAAAACATGGCACTACAAGCAAAACGCAAATTCCTAACATTTGAGGTATTGCTCATGCTTCAAAATCCGAGAAGGTGATGAAGATGACAAAGGCTAGAAATGAACAACAACGAATGTAGGTGTAAATAAAACAAAATTGAAAAAAACTAAGGAAACGCATTAAATTAAAATCGCGTGCGCATTTCTGCGATCCGGCTCGAATCCGGCTCTAATGCTATAAAAACACTTCAGACTAAAGAGTGGGACGCTTAGGCCGTTTTTATTTTGATGTTTTGTGGGAATGCGCGGCCTGCGAGGGCTGTTGCAGAAGCAGCACAGTTGCTCTTGAGTTCTAGCCCTCGTCATCTTCTTCAATTCTTATTTTGCAGAACCTATAATGTTATCCGCATAAAGAAATTGCGTTGTAATTATATTCCAATCGCAATTACAGGACTTGGCAAAAAGCCAAGAGAGCTGCACGCGACCGCGCCGCGCGAACGGTGTTAGTAAAAACGTGAGTTTGCAAAAACGGGCGGCGTAGCAAGGAATTACGACTTTCCCACGGTCCCGTACTCTGACCGCGTGCAGTTTTGGGCGGGGGGACCACGACACATCGACAAGTGGGGAGCTGATAGTCTCATAC